TTACTAGAGCCATTACATAATAGTGATTAGCCTGAGCGTCATTCACGAGAATAAATCTGTAATTCAGGTTGTACCATTCATTTATCATCGTTATTGATGAATTCAACTCGGTGATATGAATATCTACCGCCTGGAGAGACATCGATTCTAAATTTACTCAGGCCCCTCGTGTGTGTTACGATTGTACGAAACATGAAGTATTAAGCATATAAAAAAGTCAAAACATTCTAGCTCAAGTATGTATCTACATGTCGGCGCAATTGATTCTTTGAGCCACATTATTTGAAAATTTACAACATCAATGCTGCAGCTCAAAGAATTACGTTAGCTGACATGTAGATACATACTTGGGCTAGAATGCTTTGACATCATTGTATCGGTAAATAAACTTTCAAAACAAACAGTCCTATAAGCCCTCTCCATCGGCGCTACCCTCACTGGTCTTGCTGCACAAACCAAGCTGAAAGCATCCCTTTCAACTAACCGAAAATCTTGACTGCATGTCATCAGGAAACAAATAGTTAAAATATTTCATATGAAGAAGATCGTACGACTTGTTGACGAATTTATTGAAAAAGTACAATTTCGCCAAACTCAGTGTTTTTAATTTTACGAACACTAAGTTCTTCCATTCTTTGACGAACCCTCGTGATGAGGTGACGTATTTCTGACGGAAATCTCTTCCACCCCGTTTGGCGTTAAGGTTAGAATAACCATAACAAGTTGGTCACTTATTGTAGACTAATTGACTGTAGAAAAATGGAGTAAGCTCAAGATCACATTGAAAAAGGCGGAAAATTCTTTTAATCTGGGAATATCCCTAAAACCTGGTATCTTACCGTTCTCTGTTACGTTATACAAACGATCGTTAGCACTGCCAATCGATTCCTCTGCATAACAACCCCGAGCACCGATTAATTTCGAACTTATTTAGCTAAATACTCGAGTAGTGTCATCGTTAGTACATTATTAAGGAACTGTGCGAGACATTTCATCTCCAAATACCACCCATCAGTAAGGTTACAAAATTGTTGGCTAAAGAATTCCAATTCACTTGCCCTCAGTTTGTTATAAGTTTATTTAATTTCCTCTATCCTACTTTTTCCCATGTTGACCTGAGCTCTGTAAGCTTCGAAGATTTCAGAACCAAGTGGATTCTGGGACACTCAATCCAGATAGTTCAATCGCCTAACATAGTGCCCAACAAATAGTCCCGAAGTAATATAAGGATCTTGTTTACTTTACGCTTGGCACCCTCTTCATGTGTTTCTTAGCCGGTAATTAGCGTACACCTAAACTTCAAAAGAGGATGGTTATACTGTTATATAAGGCGAGTAATAAAGAGGAGGCCTCCAACTACTTTCGTGTGTTCTTGCACTGTTAGAGAAAATGAAGTGCCTCTGAGCCCTAGCCAAACCATCCGGCAGTTGGGTCACTGAATAACTAACAGGCGGTCGACCCTCATCAAGGCCAAGGACAACAACCCCACATTAGGCAACCGCGTGCCATGGACTGGTCAGTGCGATGGTGGTCGCACCTTCCTCCTTGTACCTACTCTCACCAATATATTTTTGTAAAAACATGCTTTGTGTTATACTGTCTTCAAAACAGCCATGGTACCTTGCAACGACGACAGTTTAACCCACGTTAGGTGCTGACCAAAATGTGCGAATTCGAAGTTAGCTGGTGACGCCATTCCCGTTTAACTCGAATAGACCCCCAGTTACTCGACGTAGATCATCTAAGTTGGTGATCTACAGTGGTGAGGTCAACATTACCTTTCAGCCTGAAGTTTTCAGTAATAAGAATAGGAGGTCTATCGACATATAATAATCCTTGCAGTTTTTAACACCGGAGTTTCAATCTTGTTTTGGCTATATCAACAGAAGGTGCTGATATTACGTGTTGTAGCACAGAATTCCAGTAATTCACTACACGGTGTGAGAAACGAAACTTCAGACGTAGACGATTTGATTCCTAATGATCATTCCTAGACGGAAGGAAAAAATAAGACATATTAATACATAGTGTAGCGGTAAATAAATCCCCAAAATAAATATCCCTGTAAGTTTTCGACATTGGATGCTGACCACATTAGTTTTAATGGACTCACATTGCTGAAGGCCCTCGATCATGCATTCACACAAGATCACGAGTGGGAACGCCGTGCTCAACAACCCCTGCAATCGCTAGCCAGATTAGATCAGACGATCCTCGATATATTGATACCCTATCAAATATATCTTCGAACCTCCTCGCTTCTGTCTTTTGATTTCACTTGGTTAGTATGCTTAATATTAGAAGGTGTTACTAGCTAAAGCATTGTCAAACTCCGAATACATGTGCCATCTTCAAAAGGTCATTGTTCAATATACGGTGAACTAATGTTAGATCAACCCGCAATTTGTAGTGAGACAGTGGAAATCAGTTGAGGTGTCTCAGCCAGATAGGCCTACCATCCTAGTCCCTCATCGTTGGGCGCGTCCCAGCAAATCCATCTCATACTTGAAACAAGGACTCGCTGCTTGAATCGCATATTGCAATAATATCGCACCTAAGTCGGGTATAATAATCTGAACATTTCATCACCCAAATACTGGGGAGGCCTGCGAATAGATCGTGAAACCCCACAGCATTTTACAGCAGTAGCCCACAGTGACAGTTTTGAGATCACTGCTTAGTATATATTTTCTTACGCTGGGTAACACGAATTCACATATTGTATAGTGATATGAACCACACCACAGAGTAACGATCATGTAAATAGTTATTATTTTTCAGTAAGTCCATTTCATCTGCATGGAAATACATCTTTCTACTTGGTGAATCATGTAAAATAGATCACTTGGATTAGCCGGACAATCTCACTAAAACACAACTATCTCTTACACATTAGCCTAATAGAATCCTTCAAAGAATCAGACGGGCTTAACTGTGAAAATTTGTCTCACACACTTAGTTCTCAGAGAAAGGTCTACTTGTCAATGTGATATTAGTAGATCAACATTGTCTTGATCATAAACAAATTGGACATTGTTTGTGAAGTAGTCGCCAACATTTCGGACTAGACGGAACGAATTCCCACTTTGGGTTGTTAAGTGTTTTTGACCCCACCGTTTTTGATCTAAAGTTATATCTGGCAAATGATAACGTTGAGGCATATCTGATAAAAGTTCCGGAGTTTAGTAAGATATAATCACACCCACAACTGATGAATCTTCCCGTTTAATACCAGTAGTAAACTTTGGCGGCTAAAATATATAACGTATTGTGGTGAGTTGTGTACCAACTAATGTAAATAGCTTATGAGTCGACCAAAAAGAGTTAAAAAACTGGTTACATATTACTCAGTTTAAACGTGACTCCCAGTTAAATACCATGGAATGATTGACATGTAATGTGAATAGTTGTTAGGTATATACAGGTCCTTTTAACCTGTACGCTCTTTTTTATGGCAAGTGACATAGATGGATAAGTTCCTACCAAAGGATCCATATTTGGCTTAGGATTTAAGTCACTATCCTGTTTGAATTGTTCATTAAAATCGTATGTCTTTGTAAGACCGTAAGTGATCATTGTCCTGATTCGATCAAATGTAATCAAATAAAAAAGATGTACCCATAGTTTATCATTGGCACACCACCTCTAGGTCGGCGTTTCCGACCACTATGTTATTCTTGTAGTGTCAGAGCTATGAAAGGTAAGCCTCAATGTTCAAGTCGGACTTCTGGTTTAGAGCCTAGTAGATCTTACTGAAGCGACCCATCAATCACATTATTTCATAATTTTTACTTTCAGAAAACGCCTGTCATGTCAAACTAGTGTTTTGTTTGTTGACTGTAGGAAGGGTTATGGGTTTGTCATAAGTAACAAAAACTGGTGGTAATCCCTTTGGCGTTTGAACACACTCTTCAAAAGTAACTAATTTGGACACATAGATCTCAACGATTCAACGTCAATCGTAAAATAAAGACTGAAATGAATGAACATGACTGATTTGAACGGTGGTACTATTTGTGGTGTTTCATCTCTGGTAGAAGGTCGGTTTGAGTGCAAAAAGCTTGTTTAGTTATTTTCAGCTAACTCCACTCGTTGTGCTGCTTGATATCTAGTTACCTATGGAATGTATGTTTCATTGTACATGAACCACTGTAGTCACTCATTCGGGGCATAAATATTGTAACCAGAAAAAGTGCTCAATTTATAAATATTCTTCATTTTATGTAGTTCTGCTATCTCTATTCAGGTTTTCCAGGACAATGGTACTACTACTTTTATCTAATAGTACTCACAGTGGCTGAATAGTTATTATTTTTTTATTTGTCTAAACGTAACTGTTGGTGCTGGCCCTACAGTGCAAGAAGACACCAAATATATATGCACCACAAATTCGATTTGTGCTAGGGCTGAAATACTACCCGGCTGTTTGAACTGATGCAGTTGCTCAGTAATAACAATTATATGATCACAGAGCGTCTTTTTATCATCGCTCTCACATGGTAGTACTTTCTAATGTGGAATTTGTGGAATCCGAAAATAATAAGAGTCCACTTAATTTGTCACAAATTTGATCTTGATGGCACATTTTTCACTTTGTTTTAATGTACATTCGACTGTTTATTATGTTTCTACTTTTTGTCTAATATACTGTCCTTAATATTTTATTTCTCCACTACCGTTGTCACAACAATTATTGTTCATATGTCATAGTTTTTCTCCCCTATTTGTAATGTGGAACAACATATTAAACTCATTGGAAGTAGTATGTTTTTGCATAATGTGGATGGGTCATTTTCCCAAAAAACCCATTTCTGGTTGAATTTATTTTTGACCACATGGAAAATTGATATTTTAGAGTTAATGTTGAAAAGTTTTAAAATCCTGTGTCTCCTTTTTTATTTATTTATATTTTTTCGGATAAAAACAACTACTCTACCTGTTCTGTTTAAATTCAAGTCAGTTTATTGTAAGCTTATTATTACAAGTAATTATTCTGCACAATGACCGTGGATTCTGCGGTGACTATTATACCTATTCTCCAACAAAAATGTGACACTTTAAAAAGCAAGGTTAGTACTATTTCATAACTAAGTGTCACTTTATCTGTTGATTTTATGTAAACTGTTTAATAACTTTTTAGCTGAAATAATGATAACCACCCTATTTAATGTCATTTAACTGATTAGATGAAGAGTCCTAAACACGAAATAAACGTATGTGATATAATGTATTTTTTGTCATACAGTGCATGCAAATTGTCCATGAAATCAATCGTATCTGTTTATCTTCTCTCCAAAGAATAAATGAAGAAAATACACAAATAGCTATGGTGATTTCACCTAAATTTCCCAGTACTTAGCTTTACGATAGATTGTAAGATTATTATAAAACATGTAAATTAGGTGATCAATATAATTGAATGACCAGGTCAAATCTTATGAAAAATACATTTTATTGCAATATTTGCACAACTAAAAAGTGACAACTCAGAGATTACAAGCCTTTTAGTCGACTAAATGACGGGGGTGGGGGTACAATGTAAGATATACAGCAAATTTCTCACTGGTTAAAATATGAAAGTATTATAGCATTTTCAGGTTGTTCGCGGGTAGTAACTCCTTAAATGACTTATAACTTTTACAAAGTGATGTCTTATTCTGATCTATTTCACCATTTGCTAGAGATATTGCTTTTGTTCCCGTTTTTCTCTTTTGATAGATAGCAGATTTCACTTTGGTTAATCAGGCCTTACAATTGAAAACTTATCAACTATTAAATTTCATCAATCGTCACGAAGATTTTTCTGGTTTAATTACAAAAGAATACGATGAGGTTTCTAACGACATTAATATTGTTCAATCGGCCATAGATAGGTATACATGTGAACTGGAAGATTGGAAATCGAAACTTGATCAGTATATGATGATGGTGACAACTGTGGTGTTAAATAACAGTACTAGTAGTACAAATAACGGTAGTAATGTTAATAATCTTAATAATAATAACAATGGGGATGACAGTATCAATTTGACATTTGGGTCAACTAAATTACCTATTGTTGCGTCATCTCAATCTCCGTCTCTTCCATCCGTGTTGTTATCGTCCACCAACTCCCCAGTTCAACTAGATAATTCATCTTTGGGAACTCTACAAAGTGTTAATAATAAATTGTCTGAGTTTAAATCATCTCACCCAACAACAACAACAAAATTACGTTTACGTGCACACTTCCCAAACAGTCAATTTACATTAGTTGAAATTAAATCTGGACAACAAATCAAGCATGCTTTAGAAAAGAAATTATCACATCGTGGTCTACACTTAGAACAGTTAATTGTTTACCGATCACGTACAGGGTAATTATTTCCCTTGGTTACTATTTTATAAGTACGTACTTACATATGCTAGGACCTCTCAGAAGTTGTGTTAAAATATAAGTCCTGGGTATAAATCTTACAAACGTGTCAACATATTGTGTTGTAACAATAATATGCAGTAGAAACGCTTCTGAAACTGAATTATATGGGCGAAGTTGAGTTTCATTCGAATTTTTTCTATATAATGATCACCGTGTGCCCACTGTCTACAATTTTCCACCAACTACTTTCATGTATGATATTCTTCAGGTTGTATAGTGTTGTTGCTTTGAAAAATACGTTTTAGTATCTCCCCACTGCATAATAACGTAAAGTTTAAAATGTATTTAACTCACTTCCTAAGTTTGATACTCTGCATCAGTCGTAAATTAATTGCATGGAATTAGGAATTCATCTTTGCTCTTATCTCATTGACTTAAACGTTTTGAAAGCAGTAGAATATTCCGTGTTCCTGTGTGCTTTACATGTTACAGCAGACAAGATCAGTCTTTAAATATTAAAATTGGTGTATGTTGTAGATAATGATAGCTACTGTTTCGTCTCCCGCTTTACTGTAGAGTTTATATCGCAAAATGCTTTGATGAGTGCATTTCCTCACTCTGCAAGATGTAGTCACCTATAGCTGAGTGTTCAATATTTCTATGGGGTTGTTTATTTACATGTGACGGGAAAGTGATGGGTAATTCGTGGATCCCGTATCCTGCGTTTTTTTGTAGTAGTCGAATGAACGGTCTTCATCAAAGTACTCGATCATCAGTTGTTATACTGTTGCATGTTCAGAGCATAATATTGCAGAATATTTTTCACTTTTCCATTATTATTCATGTAAATATTCCTCTTGTGATTAAATCCTCATTTATCATAATTTGTCTTTTTTTTAAAATGAACTAGTCTACCAGTTTCATGGGAAGATGACGCTGAACAAATTGCTTTAATTGGTGAAGAATTAATAGTTGATTTTGCTCGACGAAACTTTAAACGTTTAGAACATCATTTTCAAAGAAAGACATTTTTGAAAAGGCTTATTGTAATCTATGCCATAAGTCTATATTCCATGGTAATTTGTTTTCATTTGTTTATACGTTTGTATAAAAAATTACATTTAAAGGTGCTATATGTAAAGCCTGTGGTTGCGCCTATCATAATCGTTGTCTTCCGCGTGTCGATAAGAATTGTTTGTCTAATTTAGATGATGATGTTTTCTATGCTGGTGATCAACTAAGCAGTCGAAAGTAAGTCATTGTTAATAGTTCCTTATCGTTTATCCTGTATATTTGACTTTCAGAAATTAGAAGCCATCAAAATCTTGCAATTTTTGCATTATGAACCTAGGCTTGGTATTCCACGATTGGTCTTGAAATGCTGACCGATCGAAAAACACTTTCACGATTTCACACTTGTTCAAACAACAGTAAGACACTTACAGCAGGCCTCATTATTAAAGTGGCAGATTTCACTTTCCTCCACTTCAATCAGTTTTTTCATCATAGGAATTTTAAGGGAAGTGTTCTTACTTTTTTCTGTAAAGCGGAATTATGTGTAGCTGTCTAATAACGTGGTTGACAAGAAAACCTGCTAATTAACATAGGATTGTATGATTGAACTTCATCATATCTCACATATTTCGTTACATGATTATTATCTGTTTCAATACTGGAGTTATTTATTAACCTCTCCTTCCATAAATAGCTCTTTGGGTACTTCTAATTCATCTATACACGGATCAAATTGGTTAGTTTCTTCAAATGCAACACCAGGCTATACACATTTCTATCATTTTAATCCTGAAGACCTAACAACAGTTCGTGTATTGACTAATTCTACTGGAGGTGGTTTCGATAGTAATAATCTTCTATTGAATAGTCAATATCTTCCAACATCTTTCGGAAGTGGAGGTGGACATTTTCCTCGTCAGTGTTTGTCACTAACCTGTAGAGAACGTTCATCGTCAACACCGAATGTATCGAATAATTTAATTCCACCAAATCAACAGAAAAGTTTATTCACTCCCAGTTCACTTGGAAAGGTAGTTAGTTGATAATTTGTTGTTTTTTAATTGAGGAATCATCATTTGATTTATTTTGTTCAGAATGTTAATATTTATTAAGATGAAGTATTTGTTGCACTACATCTTGTTATTCTCCGATTGTTGTTTTCATATGCTGTTCCGATGCTACTGTATATACATGTATGGGTATGCAATTTGTTTTCCTACTATTAATATGTGTAACATATGGCCCTATTTATCCTTGTGTGGGACGCAATCGTTTTTCTGCACATTTTTACTCTCATCACTTTTTTTCTGTCTTTCGATGTAGACGACTATATCCTAAACATGTTCATAATGTATTTTCACCTGTGTGTAAACCAAACCATTCTAAGAGTATGAAATCTTTACTTTCCAACTTATTAGTTTCATGTTCATTCTGCACTGGGGCTAATACAAGTAGTCACGAGAGCAATTATCAATACTACCATCACTGTGATCGTCTATCTAAATCTTATTTCAAAAATACTATGACTGATAAACAGTTGGAGACTTCAAACTCCCTTTGTCCTATCATCTGCGTAAATGGTGATAACTTTGAAAGTAATAATTATAATACAAATTCTGACAACATTCGTTGCAATGGTAAATATTCGGATAGAAAACTATCCACTTTATCTGCTCCAACATATCCATTAAAACATTGTACTCTTAATAACATCAGACTGGTAAATACTAATAGCTCGCTTTTATTTTATCATAAAACTCCGACGGTGACGATGACGACAATGAAGCCGATCGATGCAACATACATGTCTACGTATAATTGTAATGATAAAGTTTGCGGAGAGTTATCTATGAAATCTCGCAGTAGTACAATATTTCCTAGAAGTATATCATCGTGTATTAATGAGCGTGGGCATAATTCTGTAGCTTATAAGAGTCATCTTCATGTCCCTTATAATTCATATGGTAAATTACTAACTATTGGATGTGACACTACTATAAAGCTTCATGTTAGTAGTTGTAGTAGTAATAGTAGTAAGTCATCAAGCGATATCTATGAAAATTGCCAACCAATCGGTCTCCATTCCCTTCCTCTTCCTACAAAAAATACTTCTAAAGAAACGTTTTCAACAACCAGCCAACTATCTACATCGTGCTCATTGTACGAAGCTTTTTCTGAGAATCCTCTGAATATAGTGTTGGCAGATAATACCAGTCTCCGTAGTCTTTCACGTAAAACACATAATTTATCTTCTAATAAACAAGAGCCGACCTCACAAGATTACAAAATCCTACTACTACCTGAAAAATTATATTCACCAAACCAAAATTTGTGCCCAGGTCATATATCAAAACTATCTCTCTCACCAACTACATATTTTGGCATACGTCGGGTGCGGTCATTCTGTGCTTCAATGGATTCTTCAGTAGGTTTCACAGAACCACGTTATTGGTTTTATTTGACACAGATGTGTAGTTGTTTGTAAAACACTACCTTTTTTCTGGTTTTTTTATTTCAAACATTTCTTTTGGGTAGCTGGTTATTAATTTACACATTTCTGCCCAATTAGGAAACTTGTTTTACATTTCTTGCGTTATTTATGTGTGCTCATACAAGTGTGTTTAGTTGTAATACATGATATTCAAATTGTTTGTTCATGGGACATGGTTATGAATAATTTTCTCCTTTTAACCTCAGATTCAGTTGATTCTATTATGTTTTCTACCCTCTACTTCTGTATACAATTTTTTAGCGAGAGGCAAATAAAATTATTCAAGGATCGCCTTTACACATTGTATATCCGGTTACAAGTAAGTATTTTCTCGTTTACTACATCACTGCACTATTATATATATATATATATATATATATATATATATATATATATATCATTATTGCTTTTGCATTGAAAGACACACTAGTCTTAACACTCACCCAGTGATAAGCAATTAAAGTGAAATAGTCTCGGCAGTGTTTCTGAGGAAATATTTAGATTAACTTTTTAATTTATGATCATTTATCATGAAGAGTTGCGACCTGTGGTGTAATACAGTGATAAACCAATTATCCATTTCACTACGCTTGTTTTAACTAGGTATCAAGTGTTTTGGTTAGTAAATTCTAATTTCCCTCCTCCCAACTAAATATGAGTCTTTTATTACCATATCTTGAGTAGCATTCATATGCTGGTGTTGGCAAACCGGGAGTTGGGTACTTCAACACAATTTTACTAGAGTTACACACATGGTGTTATTATTATTATTGTTGTTGTCATAATTATTACTAAAATCAATCTTCTCACTCCATATTAGGCTGTGGTCGGATAATTGAATAATGTAAATAGCAGAAATTAATTCTTATAGTCATGTTTAGATTAAATTACCTGGTGAATAATTAGAAAAAATTATCGTGGTACACTGAGTCTTAATCATGTATGTTTACATGTTAAATATTTCGTTTGTGTGCCATTTTGTTGGCTGGTTATTGTCTTTTATTCTCTATTAATTTGAGGGGGTGGGGATTTTGTTAATATTTGGGTTATGCGGTTAGTCGTGACTTGGTCTTATCTGTACATCAATTCATCGGATCAGTCGCAAATCACCGCACTTTAACATGATATTCCTTTTTTTATAACACTACGAACCGCTTCTTCGTCTTATTCTTGCCTCTTGATTAGTTCGTATCAACTATCGCTTTCAATGAACTTTTTATTTGTGTTCTATGATAATATTGATAGTATTTAGTCATCAGTGTTGTCCTTGTGTAATCGGCTTCTTTCAAAGCATTAGAAACTGTTTTGGCAAAGGCTTTCCTTGTCAGTCTGCGAGCACTACTGAATATTCGTTGAGGCATCATTTTATAGGCATTAGCACTCAATCAGTATCATATCTTCAGTATAGATTTTGGGAATAAATTAGGCAGATTCTATGTGTAATTGAATCATTTACACGCAGCGTTGCAACAATAATACACTTATTTCTTGGATCATTAAATGTATAATGATCTGAGTTGTTAATCATTGATAAGTCAGTCCATCATAATATGTGTTCAGCGTTTTAAAACAAGTATAAGAAAAGCGCGTAATTAATATTGAGCATGGACTGGCTGCTACTTCAATAGAACAATAAACATCCTTAGCCATTTATAATCCGAAGTGGTCGGTCAGTACAGATCGGTAGGTAGATAGGTACTTGTAATTTGATATTGCTCGTTCAGTTTATCCAAGGTGGTTATTGTGTTTCAGTGAGTCTCATCACCTATGACCCTCAATATGACAGAAATGTATTCATTAATTTTTTTCATTCCGAACTGTTTTTACTTTACTTCCTTGTTAACAGATTGTCACTGATTTCATTTTGATTATTTCTTCCACTTCTTCTGTGATATGTAAATGGACAAATTCCAGATTCTATACTGCTCATATGTATGTATCTGATCTTATTGCTTAACACCAATGATAGTCTTAAATATGTTGTTCATTTAATGTCTAATCAGTGATGCATAGCTTTAAGATCTCATCTTTAATTGTCAGTCTTTAAGCTGTTCAGGAACATTTACTATAATGAGAAGTAGCTAAATAGTAAAGACTTTCGTAGGTTATGACGTCTTAACAAGACAAATAATTTTCTTTGAAACTATACGGTACTGACAGCCTTGAGTGAACCAGTCAGGATTGCGATAGTGCATCGTGGACTTTTGCTCAGTCAAACATCTTGTATATTATCATTGGGTGAAAATTCGCAAGACCTTTTGTTCCTAAGACTAACAAGTATTTACCACGTAACCAAACAGTCAGTATAACATAGTGTTTAAGCCCTACATTTATCAAGTTCGTAAACAAAATGACTGTAAAGCTTTGTCGCATTATAATTGATGTTAATTTGTGATGAAAATCCTAATCTTAATTCCAACTTGTAATTTTAGCTTAACACTTATTACCTCACCCAAGCCTACATGAATTATAGCTTATTACATAGGTTAATGACAAAAACCCTATAGGATTACAAACCTAATTCACTACACTAGCTTAACTTTTAAAATGTAGATCTAACTTTTTCCTCTTTTAGTATAATGATTATTTCAACTATTATTTCACTGAAATTTTAGTATTTATCGTCAATTTTTTTAATACCTAAATCCTTTTTCCTAATTGGCTGGTAGGTCTCTCAAAGTCGTCCAGATCGTATACTTTCATTTTATTTTTGTTCATTTATTTTATATAGATTATAATTATACAACTGGTAATGGATTACCAGAAAGTCCATCAATTCCCAATGATGGTTGTTTTCTATCAAATTTATCTATACCATATAATCAAAGATCTGGCAGTGATCCAAAACAATCTATCAAAGTAAAAAATGTAAATTTTTATTCTCTTTTTTTTAAAATGTTTATATATGTACATCGATAAAGTTTTGTTTGTGCACTAAAAATATTATTGTTAAGGAGGATATATCAAGATTTTGGTTCATTATCTGACAACATTATACACTGTGATAAAGAATGTTCCATGCTGAAATTAAACAGCTCGTTGATTTTCAAAGACTTTAGCTAAAAACTACGTTGTGTTTCTATTGAGTCTTTAATATTTACAAGAAAAAATTAGAGTTTTGATTATAGTTATGTATGAACATTCATGTAATATACTACATATTAAGTTTGTCCATTGATTCGTTAGTCAGTGTGAATGTTTAGAATCCTATACTAGCATCATTGATTTACTTTAGAGGGAGTTAGTTGTGAGTCAGTCATACACAACGTAGAACCTGGCACATATGTATATCGGTTCAAGTTGCCGAACATTATTAACATAGCGAAATAAAATTATTAAGGCACATCCAATGGTAGTAGAGGTAGTATCAGTATTGGTAGTATTGAAAAAGACCAAACAGAAAAGATATTTTCCGTGAAGAAAATATAGATTAGTCAAATAAAAAAGATGTATAAGGTAATTTGGAAAATGAGAATTTGACCAATGACAGTGAATACACCTGCGCCACTGCAAGTGATTCTGAGGCATGCCATCTAAAGTCGCCAACCATTACCTGCGATAATCGTACAATCCTAACCATATAATCTACATATATCTCCACGACTTAGTCCAATCGTTAGTGATTTCTTAGACTAGTGCCACACCTTTTCGCTGCCCCTAGTTTTCTTCTAAATTATTTCTACACCAGTAAATATCACATATTGAGGCAGGTGGTAGTTGGTCATATGTAATACATGTCCCAACCACCTCCATAGACGAAAGTTTACTGCCTCATTAATCGATTTACCATCTTTCGATAATGCTCTACTTCTATCTCTAACATTGCAAATGTTCATGAATCAATGAAAATCAAACTTTTTTTACTCAAGAACATCATTGTCATCCTTCCCCAGACTTGTATCACATCGATGATCTCAGGAACCATACTTCCTAGAGCGGCGCAATTTAGTAATTAACGTATTTGATTTCTTTCAAGCAGATTCAAACACTATTGTATCCACTCCAACTTAGACGGTTATTGGTATTAGCTCTTTCTTGTACTTGTGTTTTGACAGAGTTTGACTCAAAGCTGAGTACTTGAACCTACATTTGATAGGTTTTTAGCATCAATTTTCTGAAATTTCTAAAGAAAATTATCTTCCTAAAGAATTCCAGATAATATAAAACCCCATATCTTGAATTTCCTGTCGGAATCTAGGTGTAGTTAATACAAGACATAGCATCAGTTCATGAAATTTTTAACTTTAGGCCTGAGTTATTTTGATAATTTCAGAATATCTGGTTGGATTCCTCGAGATTATCTTAACTCAGTGGTTGGAGACGTTGAGTGGCGTAACTGAAAGACCGTCACAATGGTGCAAATCCATCCACTTCTTGTCTTATACTTTCTATTTTGAAAGTTCATTATTTTTTCTCATATCATATTGTTCATGCCTGATCTTTTCTTTTAGCATTGATACGCTTGGTACTTCTACCACTCTGGAATTTATCTTGATGAATTCATCTCACTGTATTGATATGGTGTGGCAGCGTGAATCGATACACATATGTATTAGGTTCTACTTTGATTATAATCGACTGTCTGTCGATTATATTCAACTATCTTATATTATGGCTCAGAATCGTTTGTAGTGACTCAGATGCATCAATTCTTTGTCTTCCCCGAAATTCTGAGCTTCTGAATTCCTCTTAACCTTTTTTGTGTTTATATCTCACTAATTTATATTTTGAATCGTATCTTTAATGCCTAAAATTTCCTATTACCACTAATACTGTTACTACCTCTACTATTGTGGGATTTGGCCTGACAACTTTATCCCTCTGTAGTAATGGGGTATGGTAACTTAAACCAATGTGCGTACGTACCAGGTTTGACGATGGGACTAACTGACTTTATTTATTAGTATCCTTTCATTTATTAGACTTCATGCAAGATAAACCCAGTTTTAGTTAAAAAAATTTTAATTAAAAAACTGAGTAAATGAATGTATATTCATGTATTTCCGCTCTTTTTTTGCCTTATACTCATCGTTTCCATGTGGATGTAAATTTACATACCTTTTAATAATTTTAATTATATTTGTCATCTCTAGAGACGTGGTTCAAATGATGAATGGGAGATAAATGGACAAGAAATTACTAAAGGTCCAAGAATCGGTTCTGGATCATTTGGTACTGTATTTAAAGGTTATTGGCATGGAAATGTTGCAATTAAAGAATTGAATGTTGTTGATCCTACACCACAACAATTGAAAGCTTTCAAAAATGAAGTCAGTGTATTGAGGTAGTTACTATTTTTTTTTAAAAATCGCACGTTCTTGTTTAATTTTCAATCTAAATTATTCATTTGTTGTTGTTATCAGCCCATGATGATTATTTTCTAATTGGAAAAATCTACACACTATTAACTGCTGATAGACCACTTTATAGTATAATAGGTAGTCAAGTTATCCTAGATGTTACATAACATATCCTTGGTACAATATATGACTTGTCCAGCTTGTCAGAACAGACAATGAATTCAAGTTGGTAAATAGTATGTGGACTTAGTAACAAATCACCAATTTCTCTAATGATTAAGAACTAGTGCCCCCAAATGCCCTGGTATGGCTGAGAGTGGGGAGAGTCCGCTCTCCCTCTCGAAATGCTCTCACATGGCCACGCGTATATAGCCTCTGCCAGGGAAGTCCTACTCACTGCCTTCTCGTGGCGGGGGTGTTGTTTACGAAATTAAGAGGACGAAAAGCGAACGTCCGGTGCTTTAACCAGGTTGGTGGACATGGAGAGTCCACCTAGGGGAGTTGGAAAACCGTGACTTGCAAACCAATGTGCACATTGGCTCCAGTATCCTGACGGAACAAATGGCGTATGAATTAATCGTTGGTCACCGGTCACCATGGGACTGCATCCCTTACGTTGACCCACTGCCTCGTGGATCAGACCTTCATGCCGAAGGCTCCGGGTGTGGCCCCTAAGAAAACCACCTGCTTCGGTTTGGGCACCCGGGCAGTATCACAGCCCCCAAACATATCAAATGAGATCTGTGTGGCGCATATGTATTCGGTGCCTCCTTGTATCAATATTATGTGTTAAAATAAATAAATAAATAAAATTGATTTTGGTTATGTTTTGTTTGAGAATTTCTTTCTTTCTTCATTTTATTTTGTTTTTTTTTTTAACATTTTAATTTTAGAAAGACACGACATGAAAATATTCTTTTATTCATGGGTTGTGTCTCTAAACCATGTATAGCTATCATCACTCAATGGTGTGAAGGGTCCAGTTTGTATAAACATCTTCATGTGTTAGAGCATCGTTTTGATGTTCCAGAACTAGTCGATATTGCCAAGCAAACATCACAGGGAATGGAGTAAGTGTTTCATTTTGTAGTAGATTTGTCGTTTTTCTATGTTGTTTATCTGTATGTGTACTGTAAATCGACTGATGTAAGTAACTTTGCATTGTTTTCACTAGTTTGTGTTAGGCACTGACCTCCCTAACTTATCTAATAACCATTTAACAAATTTTAAATCAAATGGTCTCGCTGATCGCCTTGTTTGCAACGCAGTATCTGTTCTAGTCCTGTTAGCTTTATTTATTTATTTATTTGAACACATAAATATTGGTACAAGAGAGCGCCAATATATATGCGCCACACAAAACAATGAAAATTCGAAGAGAAATAGAAAGAAAAAAAAAAACTAGGGAACGCAAAAGAAAAAGAGAACAATGACGAAGAGATTGGAGTAAGGTAGTGTGGTAGTAACGACGGAACGAAAAGGTACAATCAGAAGAAATCTTTCAGGTAAAGGAGACACAACCACTTTTTATGAAGAAAGTAAAAGAAGGTTACAGCAGGATCGCCACTGGCTTCTATTCTGAGCCATATCTGATAACGTCTCTAGCCACTGTGTAGCACCATCTCTCGGACCCCAACCAGGGAGTCGTGAAGGACCAACACAAGCCAGTCCTTTGCAGCTTTCTTTCATGCCACGACACCATGTCATGCACTGACCACCTCTCCGCCTCTTCCAACCAGTCCCAGAGTCGGCAAATAATGCACGACGTGGAATTCTCTGGGACGACATTCGGAGAACATGTCCAAGCCACCGAAGTCGGTGTTTCAAGATGGTGACACCAATTGAGTTATCATCTCTGTGCCCGAACACACGATGCCGAACCTCTGCATTACTGACATGGTGTTGCCACTGAATGTCAGCAATCCTTCGGAGACAGCGATGATCGAACACAGAGAGTCGTCTAACGTCCTCAACTCGGAGAGGCCAGGTTTCACAAGCATAGAGCAAAACTGCTCTCACCGACGCGTTGTAGATCCGACCTTTTACAGCCAGACTAACATCACGAAGGCGCCAAAGGTGGCCCAGATTGGCATAAGCCGCTCTGGCTTTCACTATTCGTGCATTGATCTCATCACTCACACCCCCACCAGCACTTATGCAGCTACCCAGATACACGAACTTCTCAACTACGTCTATCTGCTCACCGTCCAGGGTGAGTACAGGATTAGAATCCTGCCAGTCTTGTAGAAGTACTTTGCACTTCGAAGGTGCAAAGCACATACCATACCTACGGACACTGATTGCCAACTGATTAAGTGCGGATTGCATGCCTTGGGCATTATCGCACAGTAAGACAATATCGTCCGCATACTCAAGGTCGAGAAGTCTTTCTCCAGGCAACAGATCCACACCACCATTACTTACATTCATCAGAGCTGTTTCCAGAATGTCATCGATGGCAAAGTTGAAGAGGAATGGTGAGATTGGGCAACCCTGCCTAACCCCACTGCTCGAATGGAACAATGGAGAGAGGTGGTTGTATGCCCTCACTCTGCCTGAGGTGTTTTTATACAGGGCTTTCAGGATGTTAATAAACTTCTCAGGCACACCCTTCTTCAATAGACAATCCCAGAGAACAGTCCTGTCCAACGAATCGAAGGCAGCCCTGATGTCAAGAAACACTACGATTGTTGGCCTTTGAAAAGTATGGCGGTGTTCTAACATTTGGCGGAGGGTGAAGATATGATCAATACATCCTCGACCAGAACGAAACCCAGCCTGCTCCTCGCGAGTCAATCTTTCTCGGGTTTTGAACAACCTACGAAGAATGACGGAAGCCAATAGCTTGGACGCAATCGGAAGTAAACTTATCCCCCGATAGTTGTTACAAGAACGACGTGAACCCTTTTTAAAGATAGGGACAACTATCGACTCATTCCATGACGTTGGTACACACTCTAGTTCCCAAACCTTTGTAAACAACGTCGTCAATTCCTTAGTCAAAAAGTCACCACCATCTTTAAAAAGAGCCGGAGGTAAGTCATCTGGGCCAGGTGATTTGTAACGCTTCAAGAGTTGGAGTTCCTTGCGGACTTCCTCCTCATTTGGTGGATCAGTCGTCACCGGCCATGGAGGGCAGGACAGTCTGACCGATGTTGCCGGAGCAGCAGGCCAGTTGAACTGCCCTTCGAAAAATTCTGCCCATCGTCCAAGACGTCGATGGATGTTAGTGATTGGCATCCCATCATCCTCGCAGATTGTTTCACTCACACCAGACTTCTTGCTGCCAGTGGCTCGGATGAGCTGGAAGAGCTTCCGGTAGTTACCAGATGCAGCTGCTGCTTCCAGCTCATTAGCACGCATCGACCACCAGGCTTCTCGGTCCTTACGCAAGCTTTGCCCAATCTCCTTACGTAACATCCTTCGTTTATGGTCAAACTCACGGTCACCCGGAGTAGACCGACGGGCTTCAATGAGTTGTAAGGAACCAGAAGAAACCCAGTGCTTAAAGGCGGGACGTTTCGCAAACCCACAACTGACTGTTCCCGCCATTTTCATGGCGTCATGCAATTGCAACCAATGCTCATCTATACTTTTCGGTGGAGTGGTAGCTAGCCTAGAGGCTAGCTCGGTTCGATACTTACTTGCAACAGAAGTTGCAACCAGCTTGCTAACATCAATCCGTTGATGGCGTTCACTTCGTTGTCCACTGAAAAGTAAGGTAAGATTGGCGCAGACCAAGGCATGGTCAGAGTCCAGATAGGTACTCCAAAAGGAGCGGCAGTCTTTTACACAACCACGCCAGCGGTAGCTGATCGCGATGTGATCAATCTGAGTCCAGGCTTGAGATGCAGAGGGAGGACGCCAGGTGGCACATCGGCGATGACTGTGCCGAAAGTTAGTGCTAGCCAGAAACAGGTTGTGGTCTGTGCAAAGTTGCAGTAGACGGTCCCCGTTATCTGACCTGCGACCAACGAGTCCCCATCGGCCACCTAAACGACTCTCTTCTGTGCCTAGACGCCCGACCTGAGCATTCAAGTCTCCGGCTAGTACTACAATATCTGTCGAACGCACTTTCTGGAGAAGAACTGATAACTGGTGGTAAAACTCATCCTTGATTGCATCCGGGCTGCAATCTGTCGGGGCATAGGCGGAGATGACGAAAAGACATCGTTTCTCACGCCGATTTCTTCTCACTTTGATGGAACTTTCTAATCTAACAGCACATAACCGACTGTTAATGGGGATCCAATCGACTAGTGCTGCCTCAGCTCTAGCGCTTAGTGCGACACCAACGCCAGCAAGACCAGACGAAGATGCCACAGGGTCCCCGGATAAGCGCACGTAAAACAAGCTTTTCGAAGCGACAGATGGAGATCGAATTTGTAGTACTTCGCCAGAGTCTTGAATACGGGTCTCGGATAGACAACACACGTCGATATTAAGACTTTCCAAAGACATAGCCAGCCCTATCTGTTGTCCGACCTGCATAAATGTGCGAACGTTGAAGGCAGCCAGTTTGAATGGTGCACGTGGTTTCAGAAAATCTGCTTCAGTCCTCGTATTCGGTGGTAACATACAATTTTCAACCGGACAGTGACTCGAGAACGTATAGATACAGTCGGATTTCCGCCAAAGACGAGCCGCTGTATAAGTATAAAAGAGGGTGAGTAATGTGGAAAATAATAATAATAATGATAATAATAACAATAATGACAATAATACTAGTAATAATAATAACAGTATTAATAATGACAATAATTGTAATGATAATAATCTGAATCAATTGTTTGTTTTTCAAAGCAAGAAAGGTAATTTCCGTAGGCATAAAGAGTTCATCAATTTGTGTGTGGGCTGTGATACTGCCCGGGTGCCCAAACCGAAGCAGGTGGTTATCTTAGGGGGCCACTCCCCGAGCCTTTGACCTAAAGGTCTAACCCACAAGGCAGTGGAGCATCGTAAGGAGATGCAGTCCCATGGTAGCCGGTGACCAACGATTGGTTCATACGCCATTCGTTCCCGCAGGATACTGGAGCCCATGTGCACCATTGATTTGGAATCCGGTTAAAGCGCCGGACATTCGCTTTTCGTCCTCTCATTTTCGTAGACAACACCCCCGCCACGAGAAGGCAATGAGTAGGACTTCCCTGGCAGAGGCTGTATACGCGTGGCCGTGTGAGAGTATTTCGAGAGGGAGAGCGGACTCTCCCCACTCTCGGCCGTACCAGGGCATTCAGGGGGGCGCTGTTAGCTCTATGCATCTTAATTCTCGTTAACTGCTTACTCCTGTTAACCTTGACCACGTGGTTGGCGTTCTCCTTATAACATGATGAATTAGATATATGTCATTGTTTCTATTAATATCATGCTTTGAGACTTTCCCTGAAGTATTTTTACCTAGAACTTCCTCATCATTTAAGAGTGTTTATCCTCGATACAATTCTTACCATTTTTGTCACTACAATTAGCGCTAATCCAAATATAATTCAGTCACCTGTCAAAACCTAGCATATTGTTTGTAAATAATTTCTAAATGAAATAATATTTACCACGTGAATTATATTTGACATTTCACCAGTTGAATGATTAGAATTATACTGTATTTGAATGATCCAAAAATACAGAGTTAAATAATCTCTACAACACCCCACTTGCCTATACTAATAGATTTCTATGACTGAAATACTCCAATGACTTTGTCCTATTTCCTATTAAAAATTTTTCATGTATCCATTCTCTAGTTATTTACATGCTAAGAATATAATACATCGTGACTTAAAGTCAAGTAATATATTCTTACATGATCGTACTGTGAAAATTGGCGATTTTGGTTTGGCCACAGTAAAAAGTCGTTGGTGGAATACTGGGTGTCAACAACCAACTGGATCTATATTTTGGATGGTAAGTAGATTAATAATAATACAGGCTTACTTAAAGATTAATTCACATTTTCACTTGTTACATTACCCAGAAACAGTTGATTTACTTCATCTTATTCATCGTGTCATCCCTTAACATTTATTTTTATTAGGCTCCTGAGGTTATTCGTATGGAAGGTGAAACACCATATACTAATCTTTCAGATGTATACGCATATGGTGTAGTGATTTATGAATTGATTACTGGTCAACTACCTTATTCTCATTATAATAATCGTGATCAAATTTTATTTCTTGTTGGTCGAGGTTTATTAAAACCTGATCTAACTGTATGTCGTGCAGATATTCCTCATCAATTACAACGTTTATCATTAGATTGTTGCAGTTTTCAACGTGAAAATCGACCACCATTCTCTCAGGTAAATTAAACATTGTTTTCTTTGTTTTAATGTTAATTAATTTTCATGATTTTATTGTGTATGTGAACGTTTTCTCAATCAATGTTTACCTAGAATCTAATTAATAAAAAACTTTTAGTTTAGCTTAATTTGTATTCCAAATAATTAGTTCATGTCACATTGTCAATCAATCATCAACAATATAAAACATGTATTTTATTTATTTGAACACGTAAACATTGGTACAAGAGGGCACTAAATACATATGCGCCGCACAAGTCACTTGATTTGTGTGTGGCCTGTGATACTGCTCGGGTACCTTAGACTCAAGCAGGTGGTTTTCTTAGAGGGTCATACCTGGTGCCTTCTACCTAAAGGTCTAATCCACAAGGCAGTGAAGCAACGTAAGGAGATGTAATCTGACGGAAGCCGGTGACTAAAAACAAGTACATACGCCATTCGTTCTCTCAAAACCATTCAGCCTATGTGAACCATTGGTTTAGAATTAGCGTTTTCCAACTACCCTGGGTGCATCATTCGTATCCAGAAAATTGGTTAGTGTGCTAGACATTCGCTTTTCGTCCTCTTAATTTTGTAAACAACACCCCTGGTGCGAGAAGGCAGTGACTGTATACATGTGGCTTTGTGAAAGTATATGTACATTGGTCCATACTAACTGCGAGATAAAATTATCAAGATGAACGCTAAAATAGTAGAAGTAGTAACAGCATGATTGGTAATTAGAAAGATTTGACACAGACTATGCGATTTGGCAGGGAAGAATAAATTTGCAGTATGAAACGTGTGAAATAGTTTGCAAACTCAGGAATTAAGAGAAGATAAAGAGTGAATGTATCTGAGTCATAACACTCAACGTCTCCAATCATTGGTCACGATAATCTCACGAACGTCAACAAAATAGTCTTAATATACTGTGGCTCATCATAGATTAATCAGTCTACAATCCTATAGTCGTGTCTAACAGAAAACTACTGACTTTCAATCACTACGTTAAATATTCTAACTCTACTTCATGTACTTGAGTATAATCATTTAAGTTGTATAGTTTAAAGCTGAGTACAGAAATAAGATACGATCACTCAACATATCGATGAGAAGAAAGAAATTTTATAAATCTAACGTTATTTAAAGTGTCACTAGAAGAGTGTTTATTTGTTAATCAATGAACCATTAATTGTACGGTTTTTCCGAGTTTATTTTGAACAGACTTGGAGAAATATTCCGTAATATTCTGACAATGATAACTTTATAGAGCTTGTTGGTGTTATGTGTTTTTTTCCCATTGAATGGCATTATTATTAAACCTTCATTGTCGTTCTATGCAACATCATCGTCTTGATGGTCTTGTTCTCTTCACTTGTTTTTACACTCCTACTGACCATATTGTCTTTGATTGACCTCTCACCATATGACTGGTTAACCTTTCCTGTATGAATTGATATGTTGGATCTATGTCAATTGATTTAAAATTATACGTACAGAAATTCTCTGAAATTCTTATGATCTTAACAGTCTTCACATTGTATATCATTCATCAAACCTGTTATCTTTGACTTTTATAAAAAACGAAAGCACTATCTTTAATCAACCCATAATACTCTACAAATACCTTTCATTACTTTTAGTAATGCCTTATTTTGTGATTGAATACAACTAGTCATGGATTCTCACTTCTAATAATTCTCCTTATAGTACTTGTTAAATTGTTTGTCTGAAGTTAGTCCAATTCTTAATGTCAAGTATTCTCAAATATAATGTGGTCAAATTCACTTGTATCAGGATTCAGTAGCTAAGTGGATAGCGCGATAGCGTTTAAAGCGAACGGTATTGGGTTCGAGTCTCAGAGTGAAAATCAATTCTGGGATGCAGATAAATCCAACTGACGAGTCCCAAATAAAACGAAACACTCGTCAAACTAGATTCCATTGCTAACCACTATCCATCTCTGCTTATCATCCAACCGACTTTAGATTAAATCATTCATCAGAGGAATTTAGTAAACTATCGAATTATTTCATTTACTGAGGTTCTCTTTTTCTTTTCGTTTCTTTCAATCATATCATTATATAGATTTATCCATGTTTAGATTCATTATATCGTTCATTACCAAAATTACATAAATGTTCATCAGAACCAAATATTAATGGTATTGTATCACGTGGTAATGTAGCAATTGGATCTTCGAACAATGAACGTTTAGGTATGGATGAATTTAATGATAAACGTATTATTTCTAATAAATCTGCTACAGTTACAACTAATTATTTAAGTTTATCACCAAAAACACCATTTAATAATAATAATAATAGTAATAATAACAATAATGGTAATACAATATCATCATCAATTACAAATGAATTGTTTTTTACAAATCGTAACTTAACCGATAATACTACTACTACTACTACTACTACTACTACTACTACTACTACTACTACTACTACTACTACTGCTATGACATCAAATTCATCAAATAATTTAGATAAACAATTTACAAATACAACAATAAGCAATGACCATTTATCATCACCTCCTCCTCCACTTCATCCTTCTGATAATAATAATAATATAATGATACAGAAGAACATGTTGATCGTACACCACCATCATCATCATCATCATCATCATCATCTATCATACATGATACATCCTCTAATACTTCTTCACCTCCATCACCATCATCAATTGTAAACGAACGTACAATATTGATTGTAAACAATAAAATTGTATGAAAAGGAGATTGAATATAATTTATGATGATAAATATTCTTTTTTTTCTTTTTATTGTTTGTTTATTAATTTTCTTTTAAAAAAGTTTTTTATTCTGTATTTTTTTCGTTTGTTTGTTAGTTTTTTCTTAATTGTTGCTATTGAATTAATCAAATTTCTCTTTATTATCTTTTCATAATGATGATAATTAAATAATTGAAATATTTATGTTGTATTTAACCATTAGATTGTAAACCCCTTTCACGTTATATACACACGCACGCACATACACATAACAACAATGAAAAAATTGTATACAAATAAACCGACACACATTATTACATGATAAATAAGTTATATCATCCCCCCTTTTCTTTTTTATTGTGACATTATTATAATTGTATAAAGTTTTCCTCTTTATTATTTCTATTCATTGTCATCTGTGATAGGTAGTTGTTTTATTGTACAGCTTACACTTTGCCCATCCCCCACATATATGTATGCTGCTTCTCATATGATAAGATTCTTTTCATTGATTTCATGTTCTTGTTGTTGTTGTTGTTGTTTTCTTCTCTCTTTCTTTCTGTTTATAAAGTCTAACAAAACAACATAGATTCATTTGGTTATTTATTTTCATTTTTGGTCATAATGATTTCAAGTTTATTTTTGTGTTGTTTGTTTTTGTCAAAAAGAAATATTATGAATGTTTATTGTTCCATCAGTGTACTTTTTTCAAACGTTTTTCTCTCTTTTGATATTCAGTTGTCATTTATGATTCTTTTTAGAGCTGTTTGAATTATGGCATCCTTTGTGAGCTCTCTATCGTCTACATCATGAATTGATACTTCTTCCTCTTAAGGGTTTTCTGAAGAAAAATAAGACAATTAATACTTATAAGTTCACAATATGCTAACTCAGTACTTTCAAGAACTTCCCGCTAATGATAGAAATTCGTGCGACAAAAAAAGTAGATCTTTTCTAGCCCTTCTTCATTTTTAGAGATATTATATATGTAAGGGAACATCATACTCCTCTACAGTCAATAGTAAGAACTCAACCTCAGATCATAGATTGTTGCTTTTACTCTTAATGTTCTCCAACCAATCTATTTAGTATGGTAAGACTTAAAATAAAAATGTTTCCTAGACAGTATAGCTTGATTGGATTGTCACAATAGTGAAACCCAACTACGATTTCAAGTTATCATTTATTGATAGGTCGTAGTGATTTAGGTGTTGTTATGACTAGTACCAAACCATTTAAAAGAAAATATGAAGTCAATATTAAGTGCTAATCAGCCGGACTTGTGATATTCTCTCAACGATTCTTAGCTTAATCAATCAATGATTGAGAAGTCAAAGAAGAACGAATTGTTCAATCATGCACCAGCTGACAATAACTCAAGCACAAAAAACGTGATTGTGTATAGACCTTTAGTTTATCATTGCAAATTAACCACTCGTAGAGTGAGTCACATGATACCTCACCCGACGGTATATGTCACTGTAGTCTTTAGCATGAAATATGTTCAAAATGATTATAAGACGTCAACAACTAAATTAACCAACCCACAGTTCATTTGAGTCACAAATCTTCGTCATTTTAGAATCCATTTCTTGTTTTTTTTAGTTCGGTATCATGTCTGTTCATAATGTGCTTCGATGGTAGTTGTTTTAAAGTATCGATTTTGGTGCCGGTGGTTGTCTGACTTTATTATGATCGGACGATGATGTTAACTTAATGTGTATCCTGCCTAACTTCGTACACATATTTATCAACTTAATTTGCGTTAGTAAACATTGGGACAAAACAAGTCAAATACGAGGATGATTTTGAATGCCTATAGTGCACACATCCTGTAATGTAAACATATATATATAAAGCGGATCAGAGAAGGCAAGCAGGCCCCTTCAATTTAATGAAAACATAACTTGGTATTTATAGTCATGGGACATTTATCCAAGTATTTGGATAAACACGTGCTCAAAGTAACACAAATGACTGGAAAGCAACATTATCTCTTCAAACATTGGAATAAATAGCGTAGGTGTATTAAGAAATAGAGGCTGCAACACAAGTTCTCCCCTAAAAACATCTATCGACAACTGTTACTGTAGAAAACATGTCAATTTGTTCAATCCATTGGTTGTAAACGCATCTGCTTTATGAATTAATAGTTCGAAGTTATTTCAGTTAAGTCATTCGGGAGTAATTACTACTCGGTGAAAGTATTCGGCTTGTAGTTCGTGAATTCAAATGTTGCCTTATCCACATCAGTTTGGTTATTAAGGTAACATTGCAAGTATCCACAAAATACGCCTCAGAGAGCGTTAAGTAAACCTAAACTCGGTAAGAAAGTAGTTAAGATGTTGTAACAGACGCAGTTGCATTTTGTAGTCAGCATGTGCAACTAGTGAAAATAATATTCTAAACATGGATTTTCCTCGATTTTTCTCGTCAACAATTCCCTTCATAATCTAGTCGATAAGATTCGTGACACTTCTTTACAACAAACAGTGAAACCACTAAGTTAAAGAAAAAATATAAAATACCAGTTTTTCGGTATCAGTGCTAAGGTTAAACTTGATAGTTTCAAATAAATTAAGCATTGAGTAGGAAGTCAATGATAAATATATATTTTTTGTTATGTCTCGATGAGTAGAAAGTTGTATTTCTCACGTTTCTTGACTTGATGTAAGCTCTTCAGGGAACGGTAATTGTTTCCTTTGTACTTTTAAACCTACTTATTTACGCCTGTTACTCCACGTGGAGGAGCATAGGTCGCCTACCAGCATTATCCAACCGTGTCCTGGACAATCCTTCCAATTGCTATTCATCCTTTTCACTTCTGATTCCATTTCCCGACTTAATGTGTTCTTCGGTCTTCCTCTTTTCCGCTTCCCTTCAGGATTCCAAGTTAGGGCTTGCCCCGAGATACAGCCTGATGATTTCCTCAATGTCTGTCCTATCGGTTTCCAATGTCTTTTCCTAATTTCTTCAGCTGGAAGCTGGGTTGTTCTCTCCCACAGTGGGCTGTTACTGATAGTATACGGCCGATGGATGTTGAGTATCTTGGGTAGACAGCTATTTGTAAATATTGTAACTTCTTGATGATGGTTGTAGTAGTTCTCCACGTTTCAGCGCCGTACAGCAGAACTGATTGTCTTGACGTTCGTTTTGAAGATTTCACTTTGATATCAAATGCTCCTGGCGGATTTAATAAACTCAACTTTTTGGTGTATAAACTGGTCTTATGCAAATCTATGAATTAAATAGATCAAGAAATAGTATCAACCATTGATTTAACAGGTTGATACTATTTCTTGATCTATTTACTTCATAGCTTTGCATAAGACTAATCAATGAACTCCGCTTAGAGTCCTTTTGGGGACTACTGCCGGTCCCAATCCTAGATAAAAGAGGAGGGTTGGGCATAGGGTTAGCGACCCCATCCCGCAGAAAACTAACTCGCTAAAAAAACGCTAACCAGAAAAAAATATTCAAAACTTTTAAACACTGCCCTGGGAGTCAGAAGGTCTACATTTAGAAGAGTTATGAAGCCTCATGATGATAGCCGAGTTCCTTCGGAAGTCACGGGGCCGATGCCCCTTCTGACAACCAGAGGAACCATTCATTTAGGTACATGGAATGCTCGTACAATGTGGTAGACCGAGAGAGTCTTCCAAATTGCTTCAGAATTGCTGTTAAATCAATCATTGCTGGTGTTAGCTTAAATCGAAGATTTATTCTTTTTAGATGTAACCTATGATTAAACATGTTTATCGAGACTGCGTGAATTCCGTCACTGTGACATTTTTATTCATTCACCTGTGATATGTTATGCCTAAATTTTCTCTGTTTCAACTCATTTACTCCTTTTGAATCATGCGTCTTATTTTTAGACATTGAATGTTCTTATTTTATTGGAAGAACACAATGTCGGTGGAATATACTAAACTTGAATTCGCTAAGGGGAAAAAACGAAATGTCTGTTGTATTCTCTGTAGGTTTCAGCATTTCATCAACAGGTATCACGTTTTACTTGGAAAAACGTTTTCAATAACTGTTAGTTTACCTTAACTCTCTTCAAACTGGAGGTAAACAATTGTGGATAATTCTAAACCGACATAAACTGAAGACAGTGTGTAAAGCAGCTAGTGCATTTCGAAATTGTTCATTTCTAGAAAAGAGAACACCCCATCCACAATCTGGATGATGAGACTACTCATATCGAATGGGAATGTTGTGTGACTCTTCCTTACTTTGAATTCACATCTCACGAATAACACCAATCTCTGAATACCCTACTATGGTATCCGGATATATACGACTTCTTTGGTGACCGTACACAAGAAACAAAATTTCACTAAAACGATTGGTGATATTACATAAACAGATTATGGAAGTACAGAATGTGAACACTAGTGCGTCAACCCGATCCATGATGTGCAGTTGATAAATGCGAGTGATTCATCCTTGACAACATTTTGTAAACTTATCAGTGCTTATTAATATTTCATCTAACGTGGAAACATCTCAGGGTGATTGATGATTTGGCTGTGATTTTTCGTTGATCTTACGAAATCAACAGTCAAATTCCTTTACAGATCAGGTTGCACCTATTGCTATAATTACTGTATGGGTTTCGAATTCCCAACACAATAGATTCGTTCGTGCTTATCTAGTACATCTTGAACCAATTGCGTTATTTCTAGGACTCCTAGTTTGTACTATAATTCAAATACTTCTAATCATCACATTGGCGTCACGATGAAGCCTGTGATGAAATGGTTGGACATACATTCAGATTCTGATGCTTTTGAGGATTACTCGAAAAAATTCGAAATCCGGTCTATGATCAAGGAAGATGTTGAGGATGTTAATATTGTAGCATATTTCCTCAAATTCATCGGAAAAGAAGCGTACAGCATATTAATTCTCTGGCTTTACCAGAAAAGCCTATTTCACTTGCTTATGAAACT